TTTCTCTCACAATAATTGTTATTTTTTGATTTTCTCCTCAAATTAAAGATTTGGGGACTATTAATGTGGAGTAGTTATTTATATTCCGCTTATAAAAAAAGTTAAAAAATAAAATAAAACTTTTTATGATATAATAATTAATCAAAATAAATAAACAATTATATAATTAAAATAAAAAATATTTATATACCTTAAAAAAAAAAAATGAAAAGGATCGCATTTTTGGGAGGCAGTATAATTTCTTAACCGAAGGACCTTGCCCATATGCTGATAACTTCTAATGGTGAGCGCCTCTTCGTGTCTACCTTTATAAGTTTATATTTTGAGTTTTCAGCGCCTGCAGCCAAAATAATACTGCTAAAAAAAGTGATTCGTTCCGATTCAGTAGCATTAGATCCTAAGTTAAAGCTGTTCACCTCCTGTGAACCCAAGAAAACTCTTTTTCTCAGCCATTAATTAACTGGTAAATAATTGTAATAAGTTCAAAAAATAAAAATGCCGCTAAAAAATAACAATGAAGAACTGGCCTACATTTCCATTTCAGTTACACCAACTAGGTCTGGTGGATAGTGAAACACCTTGTGGTAATATGGTGTAGATCAGTTCTTTTACTATTTGTTGTAGTGTTTTTGTTATAATCTCTCTACTCTGTTTGTTATAGTCTTTGCTATATGTATGAGGCTTGTGCTGCAGAGTTGGGATGCGCATGATGAATTAGCTTGGAGTGGGTTTGGGCCTCAGACCGCAGTCGTCGTATGCATTGAAGATTTGGAGTGGGAGTTCAACAGCAACTTTTTTTGTAAAGACAGGTAAGTGGATCAACAAGTGAGAAGGAGTAGCAAAGAGAATTATATATGGATTTAAACTTTTCTTAATAATTGAAAAATCTTTTACCTTTATTATATGTTTGGATTAAAACATTATAATTTAATTAATTAACTTTTTTATTCCATTCAACTTAAACATACTATTAGAGATTTAGTCATTGTGCTTGAAGTCTTCCTCTAAACAGCAATGTTTATGTTGTGGTAATTTAATTAGTAAATATAAAGTAGAATCCATTCTACTGCCAAACCAACACTTAACGTCCTTATCTTAATTTCTTGGATTCAAAATTGAT